TCTTTTTATCAGTTTCTCACCGCCGAGTCTATTCTAGTCGTACATGATGTACGTCTGTGCAGCGTGTAGTCTGGTTCTCTAGACCGGACAATTATTCTCGACGCTCATATCTCGTCTGGTCCGGGGGCCAGACTATGCACATGAATATGCAGTGCGCACGCGCGATTTGCTTAGTAACCACCCTCATACGCACGCGCACTTACTTGAAGGCGTGGTCGTTAATCCAATGACCGAGCGTGTTTTCGCGCCAGTTACCAGAAACACGTTTCGGCTTTGGTCATTGGTTGAGCGTTTTCGTGACATCGGTTGGCTGGAGTGACGTCACTGTTCCAACCAAAACTAAACAAATGAGGGCGCTAGCGTGCGTGCGCGCTTTCGTGCGCACGTACATGACGTACGACTTGGGAATAAAACTGATGAAAAGAGACTACAAACACGTACAAGTTTAACGTTGCTTTAGAGTTTATTTTCCTGATTAATGTCGGTCAGCATTAGTCCGAGTAACTTGGACCCAACTTATCGCCTTTTTTAACATTTGGACATGGTCTGGCGATAGTAGGGTCCAGTGTTCTAGCCAGGCATCAAACAGCGCTAGCACCTGCTACGCTTTCGGAAATAAGCGCTACACTTAAATCGCGCCGCTACGCTACCGCTACGCTATAAATTTTGGTTGTGAAAAAAAAATATCTGCCGTTTGTTCGTATACAAGCGCAGCGACTTTGAGCATTGCGCACTGGCTGTGCGACACAGCGAAAAATAAACAACGATCCCACTGCACGTACCCCGTACGATACCCCTACCGTGATGCTGCGCCACACGCATTCGCTATGAAAGCAATACGCACGTGCTGTTTTGTGCTGCGTAGATACAGCGCTCCGTACGGACGTACGTGTCACCAACATGTCACGTACAGAGCGCTCTGTGACCACACCATTTTGCGGTATCGGGTGTGCTTTCCTAAGGTCAATATTAATTACAAGCATTTCAACTGTTATTAAATTATAAATAATACTTTTTATCAAGTCCGAAACATGTTACTGTTTGAAAATAAGTTCTTCAACGTCGGAATATAATTTTTGTAAAGGATTTATTCGAGAAACGATGTCCAAAGAAAGGTTAAGCACCCCCATGATATCAATGGATCCGTCCTCAAAGATGGCCGCACGTGAAGAATTCTTCTCGAAGAATGTCGCTGTCGAAAATTTGGATTTTTGACTACACTTCTCGTTGCTGATAATAACAGTTCAATAAGTTTGGTAGTAAAAACGGATCTGTTTGTTCTAAGGACAAAACCAATCAGCAAGTATTGCAACAAAGCAAGTTTTTTAGCGCTCCACGAATGCGTAAGCTTTCTCAAATGCTGAGGGAAAATTTGGTCGCGTAGTTCGCCGGCGTAGCCAGTGTGTGGGCTGGCCGCGGCCGGGATAGGAAGCAATTCCCGGTGATTATTTCTCATCGTCATTATCTACAATTATATTTTTTAACATAACAAAAATGAGATTTCTCCTTCACATTGTGTTGTAGCATATTGAAACTGCAATTTCCGACGACTTTTTCTGTCTGAGACCTCCAAGTATGAAATGTTCATGCTATTTGTTCTCGCACTTAATATTGACAAAGTAAATCCCAATTTTTTTATAAAACATTGAGGAACTACTAAAAATGGTTAAACATCAGAAAGCATCGATCTTGGAACAATTTATACATTGTAAACATAATCTAAAATTTGAAAACAGAAGAAACTTTACAGGAGCAAGAGTATCAATCATTCAAACAAATAAAACAAAATTTCTTATAATTTAAAACACTTCTGCTAAAAAAAAATCAGGGGAAAGTGGCAGGGAATCGCCTCAGATTGCACCAAAGAGTATCTAGAGTCCAACATTTTTCGGGGCCCTTAAGCAGGCCTTGGACCCCACGCCGTAAGGGCTTCGAGCTACGCGCTCACATTAGTCGTCGAACCAAAATTACCCCTACGCTATAATTTCACCCTGGCTAGAACCCTGGTAGGGTCCAAGCTAATACCGCGAGCTGGACAACACCGTCCCAAAAGCCAACATTTTCCAACAAAAAACATCAGATTTCACCTTCAAAACGCCCTCCAAATTACTAAATATGCCACCTGAGGTACAAGTAGACATCGATGATTAAGATGGTTGTACTGAAGTTTACTTACCATCTGGAAAAAAAGTGAAATTTTCCGTTCATTTCGGAGAGCTCCCCTCGCAATCTTGAACACGTTAAATTTCCGATCGTGTTTAATGTTTGAACGACGCGATTTCTTCTTCATGCCCAGCGTACATTCGATGGGCTAGGAGTAAACCCATCCTACATCAACATGATCAACAATAGTTCTAGCCCAGGTTGGATGAAGTCTTCATTGCATTACGACTAACAACTAACTGGAACCATCTAGAGGAATGCGTAGTCCAAGCCGACTCTGTTGACACCTTCAAATCCCTCATCAGCCGCGGACCTCTCTCTCAATAAGTTACTGTACAGTGAACACCCTCTCTCTCCCGTTGCTCTTATGCCAGAATTGGTTTCTTGCAACGTACACCTACAGATACAGATAACGTCCAGGACGAGAATTCTCTACATAAGACCACCCAAAATTTGGACCGGATTTTTGTTACGTTTTAAATACCTCGTTACAGAAGCTTATTTCACGCCTACAATTTCTATGTGTCCTTACCTATTGGGCCGCTGGGTTCAGGAATTCCATATGTGATGCTGACCGACATTAATCAGGAAAATAAACTCTAAAGAAGCGTTAAACTTGTACGTGTTTGTAGTCACTTTTCATCAGTTTATTCCCCGAGTCGTACGTCATGTACAATGTACGTGCGTACGAAAGCGCGCACGCACGCTAGCGCCCTCATTTGTTAAGTTTTGGTTGGAACCGTGACGTCACTCCAGCCAACCGATGTCACGAAAACGCTCAACCAATGACCAAAGCCGAAACGTGTTTCTGGTAACTGGCGCGAAAACACGCTCGGTCATTGGATTAGCGACCGGGCCTTCAAGTAAGTGCGCGTGCGTATGAGGGTGGTTACTAAGCAAATCGCGCGTGCGCACTGCATATTCATGCTGCATAGTTTGGCCTTGGACTAGCCCCACTAGTGTGGCCGTCGGTATGCTGCGCTGAACCTCTGGCCACACACCGTGGTACCGCGCGCTACTGAGGACGAAGTTTTCATAAAATCTGCGGTCCGTTTCTTACATTCTCAGTTTCTTACTTTCTTATGGTTGTATTCTATGATGTCTCACCTATCACTTCTGGGATGCTTAGGTCTAATGATGTTCCATTTTCCGAGATATTCTTCAATCTTTCTGGAGCCCATATGCACTCGTGAAACGTCTGGTGATGGCAGCCATTTTGAATGTGACAAGAGATGACCTCAAGCTGTGACGTCGCGTTTATGCAAATTGCTTGTCGAGCGCGCGAGGGCACAAGTTGCAAATGCGACGGCTGTTTCCTGTGCCGTAGACCCTGAATAGAGATCGGTGCACGTGGCCCCCTGACGATAAATGCATGGTACAGGAAACAGCCGTCGCATTTGCAACTCGCGCCCTCGCGCGCGCGCTCGACAAGCAATTTGCATAAACGCGACGTCACAGCTTGAGGTCATCTCTTGTCACATTCAAAATGGCTGCCATCACCAGACGTTTCACGAGTGCATATGGGCTCCAGAAAGATTGAAGAATATCTCGGAAAATGGAACATCATTAGACCTAAGCATCCCAGAAGTGATAGGTGAGATATCATAGAATACAACCATAAGAAAGTAAGAAACTGAGAATGTAAGAAACGGACCGCAGATTTTATGAAAACTTCGTCCTCAGTAGCGCGCGGTACCACGGTGTGTGGCCAGAGGTTCAGCGCAGCATACCGACGGCCACACTAGTGGGGCTAGCCCCCGGACCAGACGTGATATGAGCGTCGAGAATAATTGTCCGGTCTAGGGAACCAGACTACACGCTGCACAGACGTACATCATGTACGACTAGAATAGACTCAGCGGTGAGAAACTGTAGTCCGAGTAACTTGGACCCAACTTATCGCCTTTTTTAACATTTGGACATGGTCTGGCGATAGTGGGGTCCAAGCTAATACTGCGACCTGGACAACATCATCCTGTCACTGTCCCAAAAACCAACATTTTCCAACAAAAAACATCAGATTTCACCTTCAAAACGGCCTCCAAATTACTAGATATGCCACGAGTCCACCTGGGCTATTGTTGATGTACCCTAACGTGGCGCGGCCCCTAACGTGGCGCACTTTTATTTTTCGCCTGTAGCGCCTAGCTAGAGCAAAAGTTTTAACTGAAATTTCACAGAAAGTGACATTTCATCAAGTTCTAAACACTCCCGTTCATAAATCGCGAGTTTATTTACCCGTTACAAAGTTAAAAGAAAAAATTATTTTGGCGTGATTTTCCGATTTTATTTTTTAAGTGCAAAGTGCACCCTTTGAAAATACCCCGAAAAATAAGAAAATAATTTTCTGACAAACATCTGGCTGGGTTTGTAAGTAAAGATAATAATGATTTATCAGAATTTATCAAGTTTACAGAAATTCTTAAATGTTAATTTGGAATTTTCTGAGATTTATTCAAGTGCGCCATGTTAGGGAACACTCCGCCAATTTGTGCCCAATTTCCAGACGCGACCGTTTTTGCATTTCGGATTAAATTTTATGAAACTGAAATTGTTCACAGAGGTTAAATAGCAAGCATTAAAAAGGTAAAAGTACCAGCATTTCACTGCATGAATTTGAGGTTTATCAACAAAGAGGTTTGGCAACACTTACACGAGGAAAGTTGGGTATGCTTCGAAGTGCGCCACGTTAGGGAACACGACTATACAATAGTTCTACCAAAGTACATTGTACCATGGTTCTAACGACTTCTAGAGCCAGTAGGCCTGCTAACTTTGGGAATCTCAATACACTGATCTGCTTACTGCTAGCAAACAAACACCGTTGAATTTCGTACCTTCAAAGTTCTGTTTATCACCATGGACAGCTTCCGTGCACAGACATCACCAGAGTTGACTGCTACCTTTATAGCCCTTTCCCAAGAGCTGTTCGGATTTGGAACAGGCTACCAGAGGCTGCGGTTACTGCGACCACTTTGAAAGAGTTCCAGACAGAAGCTCTCCCAACTATAAGAGGGATGGAGCTACCAGTTGTATCTCTCAGGACAAATTGACAATACCACCATCCGATAAGCACCCTAATAGCACACACAAAGAGCACACATGGAATCGCAACCCACCCTCTCCAGGACAGCAGCAATGCTTTTAGGAGAGTACTCTAATGCAAGATGCAAGAAGAAGATCCATCATGTCCATCGAGCATTGTATTTATCAGGGTGACCGTAAGGTCAGAGCCGAATTCTGCTAAATGCACATCAAAAATCTGTCAGATTTATCCAAAATCTGCCAAATTCCCCAGAATTACTCAAAATACACTATAAACACTTAACATTACATGCAGATTGGTAATTTTGCCTTAATTAAGATTCAAATTACATAATAAATAATTTAGTCACGTAAAGATGTTGTGGAACTATTGGTAAATTTCGGGCAAAACGCGCATATGGCCCCGACCAAGTCCGTTTCCCAGTAAACCTCAGCACCTAGCTTGACCAGCCAACCTGTCCCATTATGCAAGGGTTTGTTTGAAAGGATTGAAGCTCTTTTAAAGAAATGTACACTTTTTTGTTCAAATTTGCTGTTTTTCTGTCAAATAACCATTGTTGCAGAATTCTGCCAGAAATCTGCCCAAAAATCCATTCTGTCAAATTTTCTGTCAATCTCGTTTTTAACAAAAACTTTGTCAAAAATAGCTGAAAATCTGCTAAAACGGTCACCCTGGTATTTATTATTATGACCTTTGCATGGTAGTCTGGTTCCCTGTCCCGGGCTAAATGCCTCATCGGGAGACCGTTTTAGCCGATTTTCGGCTAACTTTGACAGATTTTGTTTTAAAAAATGAGTTGACAGAAAATTTGACAGAATGCATTTTTTTGACAGAAAAACATAACAAATTTGAAAAAAGGTACATTTCGTTAAAAAACTTCAATCTTTTTCAAAGAAATTCTTGCATCTAATGGGAAAGGTTGACTGGTCTAGGTGCTGAGGTTCACTGGGAACCGGACTTTCTCATGAAGCAACCACGTTTTGCCTGAAATTTACGCCATTTCATAACATCTTTATGTTACTGCAGATTGTAAATAAAGTAATTTGAACCTTAATTGAGGCAATATTACAACATCTACATGTGATTTTAAGTGTTTAAAGTGTATTTCGAGTAATTCTGGGGAATTTGGCAGATTTTTGATGAATTTGACAGATTTTTGAATTGCATTTAGCAGAATTTGGTCATGACCTTACGGTCACCCTGTGCGTAATGCATTTTTTGGTTGGCAAACTTCGATGTAAACAAACAAATCACCGCTCGTTCCCGCGTAAATTCAAGTGCATATAGAAAGTGTCAGCACATATATCGTCTGTTTTGGAAGGTGAACATTATCCCAACTGTAAGTTATTGCTGCAATAATCGACACAGAACTCAGAAGAGAATCGGAAACAATATTCTTCCGTTTTCCGGATTCCGAAGCCAGTGTGGATCTGCGCCTAGCCTGGTCCACACCTACTAAGTACTAGTCCGAGTAACTTGGAAGTTGGACCCAACTTATCGCCTTTTTAACATTCGGACATGGTCTGGCGATCTTATAGTGGGGTCCAAGCTAATAATTATGGAAGTGTAGATAGGACATGGTTAAAAATAAATCTAATTCGTACGTACGAATTACTAAACCGTACGTACGAATTACTAATTCGTACGTACGAATTACTAATTCGTACGTACGAATTACTAAACCGTACGTACGAATTACTAAATCGTACGTACGAATTACTAAACCGTACGTACGAATTACTAAACCGTACGTACGAATTACTAAATCGTACGTACGAAAAAATTAGTAATTCGTACGTACGGTTTAGTAATTCGTACGTACGATTTACTAATTCGTACGTACGGTTTAGTAATTCCAGTGGGGGGGGGGGGCGCTGAGGGGGGGGGCCTGGAACATTTCAGGTGGGGGGGGGGCGTCATGTAGATCAATGATAATTTTTTTTAGAAACTCAAAATCTCAGTTGGGGGGCGACTTGGGGGGGGGGGGACTTGGGGGGGGACTTGGGGGGGCGACAAGGTTTCATGGGGGGGGGCTGTCGCAGTGGCGTGGCCACGGGGGGGGTGGGGGGGGGGGGGGGGGGGGGGGGGGGGGGGGTGGAGCGCGTTGGGGTGACAGCCCCCCCCCATGAAACCTTGTCGCCCACCAGTCGCCCCCACTGAGATTTTGAGTTTCTAAAAAAATTATCATTGATCTACATGACACCCCCCCCCCATGAAATGTTCCAGCCCCCCAGCGCCGCCCCCCCCCCCCCCCCACTGAAAAAATTCCTGGCTACGCCACTGCCCCCCCCCCCCCTCCCGTGGCTACGCCACTGAGTAATTCGTACGTACGAATTAGTATTTCGTACGTACGGTTTAGTAATTCGTACGTACGAATTAGTAATTCGTACGTATGAATTAGTATTTCGTACGTACGGTTTAGTAATTCGTACGTACGGTTTAGTAATTCGTACGTACGAATTAGTTTTATTTTTAACCATGTCCTATCTACACTTCCATAAATAATAGTGCGAGCTGGACAACACAATTCTGTCACTGTCCCAAAAACCAACATTTTCCAACAAAAAAATATTAAATTTTTCCTTCAAAACGGCCTCCAAATTACTAGATACGCCAACTGAGGTACAAGTAGACATCGATAATTAAGATGGTTGTACTAGGTCTACTGAAGTTTACTTACGATCCGGAAGTTTACTTAATTTCCCGTTCAATTCCGAGAGCTCCCGTCGCGATCGTGAACACGTTAAATTTCCGATTCGTGTGAACGACGCAATGTGGTCTTCATTCCCAGCGTACATTCGATGGCCCCCGTATCCCGAGTGCGATTCCGTTACCGAGCGCGCGCGATGCATTGATTATGATAATGAGTAGACTGGATCGCGTTAGTAAATACAAGTGCATTTCGAATGATAATAGGGGTTCGGGAACTAGGGCAGCTTTTATGGACGGATACCAGTTCAAGCTGGTTCCCGATTCCCTTTTACCATTCGAAATGCACGTGCGTTTACTAACGCGATCCAGTCTACATTATCATAATCGATGCATTGCGCGCGCTCGGTAACGGAATCGCACTCGGGATACGGGAACCATCGAATGTACACTGGGAATAAAGACCACATCGCGTCGTTCAAACATTAACACGAATCGGAAATTTAATGTGTTCACGGTCGTGAGGGGAGCTCTCGGAAATGAACGGGAAATTTCACTTTCCATCCAGATCATAAATAACCTTCAGTACAACCATCTTAATTATCGATGTCTACTTGTGCCTCAGTTGGCGTATCTAGTAATTTGGAGGCCGTTTTGAAGGTGAAATCTGACGTTTTTTGTTGGAAAATGTTGGTTTTTTGGACAGTGACAGAATTGTGTTGTCCAGCTCGCACTAGTATTACTAGCTTGGACCTAGACCCGTGAACGTGGCTTGTAGACCCGTGAACGTGGCTTCGTCCACGTTCACGGGTCTAGCTTGGACCCCACTATCGCCAGACCATGTCCGAATGTTAAAAAGGCGATAAGTTGGGTCCAAGCTACTCGGACTAGTCCACACCTAGCCCCATAAATGTGGCCTATTTACTGGACTGCCTCCGTAAACATAGGCCACACATCCACATGTACAAAACCGTGTCGACTTTGCCAAATTTTGATTTTCACATTTAGGCTTAGTTTGTAGGATTTTTTTGCTTTAGAAGCATACTCACCCTCTTTATAGGCTAATCAGAAAGTGCTGCCTTTTTCAGATGTATATTTTTCGTGAAATTTCCAGATTCATTTTTACACGTTTGTGTATCAAAATTTCAACATGAAATTTCACAAAAATTAGACATCTGGAAAAGGCAGCACTTTCTGACTAGCCTATAAAAAGGGTGAGTATGCTTCTAAAGCAAAAAAATCCTACAAACTAAGCCTAAATGTGAAAATCAAAATTTGGCAAAGTCGACACGTTTTTGTACATGTGGATGTGTGGCCTATGTTTACGGAGGCAGTCCAGTAAATAGGCCACAATTATGGGGCTAGTCCACACCGTGCACGCCAAGCAAATTGACGAGATATCCAATTGGACGCACTGTCAATTATCGACGTAGAAGTAGAAGTAGCCTGTAGTAGGCTGTAGTGGTGTTCCCTAACGTGGCGCACTTCGACATTTACCCCGACTTTCCAGTTCCACATCAGTGTTGCCAAACTTCTTTGTTGACAAACTTCAAATTCATTCAGTGAAATACTGATTACTGGTACTTTTACCTTATTAATGCTTGCTATTTAACCTCTGTAAACAATTTCGGTTTCATGAAATTTAATCCCTAATTCAACAACGGTGCATCCGGAAATTGGGCACAAATGGTCTTGAGTGTTCCCTAGACCCCGTGAACGTGGCGTTGTATACAAGCCACGTTCACGGGTCTAAGTCTGTAAGTGTTCCCCAACGTGGCGCACTTGAGTAAATCTTGGAAAATTCCAAGTTAACATTTAAGAATTTCTATAAAGTTGATAAATTTTGATAAACAATTATTTTCTCTACTTACATGTAGGCCTACATACCCAACTAGAGGTTTGTCAGAAAATTATTTTCTATTTTTTTTCGGGACATTTTCAAAGGGTTCACTGCGCACTTTGAAATAAAATCGGAAAATCACGCCGAAATAAAATTTTCTTCTATTAACTTTGTAACGGGTAGATAATCTCGTGATTTATGAACGGGAGTGTTTAGAATTTGATGAAAGTCAGTGTGGCGCACAAGTGCGCCATGTAAGGGGCCGTTCTACGTTAGGGTAAACTAGTCCAAGTAACTAGGACTCTACGGATCGCTTTTTAACATTAGGACATGGTCGGGCGATAGTAGAGTCCGAGATCGATGGCCCTATTGCGGTTACTATTAATTTTTTTTTACCATTCTCACTCGTACCCCCAATCAAAATCGTCAGATTTCACCCCCAAAACGATCTTCAAACTGCCTTAGGCGCCCCTGTAGGCTTGATCAAGTGGGAAGTGAAAATACAAATGGTGGTGGTTAGGTTTACATACCTTTAGGAAGAAAAGAGAAATTTCACCTTCAAGTTGAGAAACATCCTTGTCACAAACGCCTTGTTTGAGGCTGACATTTTGAATTCTGGATTTAAGCAGACTTGTGCATAGCTCTGGCTACACTGTTTCCTGGCAAGCATCAGACAGACCAA